AGCCAGCCTTCCTGTGGTTCTGGATGATGTCCGTTATGTCTTTTAGTTGTATTTTTGAAGTGGCTGTGCAAGGCAGCAATCTCCGATGTTTACCTATGCCGCCATCTTGGTTTCCCCCTCCTTTTTATTTTTCATTCTGGGATTTATTTACCTTCTCTGGCTGTCACTGGAACTGAGAGCCGGCTTTAGCTCTGAGGCTTGGCTCCAGCTCTGAGACCTCGGCTGCTGAAAACAGGTATCTGGGTTTGTTTGGGTTCTATAATTGAAACTCTGCTGCAGCTCCAGCTCTGAGGCCCGGCTGGCTGAAAGCAGGTTTCTGGGGTTTGTTTAGCTTCTATAATTGCAACATTGTTTCTTAGAGTGCAGCTCAGAGGCCGGCAGCGGCAGGCGGGGAACGTTGGCTTCCTCCATCACTGGAGCAAGCAAGCCTCCTGCTCGCTTCATCTGCCTGGCTGCCGGCCACCATCTTGGTTGGCAGGTAATTTGCATATCACCCTGATTAGCCAATGGGAAGGGCAGCGAAGTTAAGGTTAATTACCATGTTTCTCCATTATTAGATAGGATTATTCTCTCTCTTCTTATTTCACCAAAACAAACTGCCTCTCATTGACACTAGCAAGTTCAGCAGGTTGTCTTATGTAATTGAGCAAGGAGAAGACTCCATTCCAAACTTTTTCTAGAAATACGTATTATTTCATGAAATCCTAGCCAACAGGTATGTAAATCAAAGATGTAAACCTACAAAATTTTAAGAGATCAAAAAACTCCTACTTTTTATGATAATCAAGAGAAATAAATTGATCACTATATTTAAAAAATCTTCTTTTTAAATAGTTAACATTAGCAAGGAGAACTAAGAATACTTTAATTACACAAAGGAAAGATGATACAATGGAAATAATTGAGCTTGGTGTAAGGCAGCTTGCCACTTTTTAGCATGTTGGAGAAAAAAAAACACAAAAAAGAAACAATAGCAACTATACAATAGCAACAAAAGCCATAAAATTCTTAGAAATAAAGTTAACAAAAAATGTCAAAAGCTTGTATAAATAAAACTCCTGAGAGACACAAAAGTTAACTTGAACAAATGGAAAAGATAACCTCTTATTCCTAGATAATTAAATATCACAAATAGATTAGTTCTTACTAATTTATAAAGTTAATGAAATTCCAATTTAGAATATCAACAACCTTTGTTTTGGAATTAGCCAAAAGGATACCAAAGTTCATACAAAAAAATAAACATTCAAGAATAGCTAGAAAAACACGAAAAAGAAAAGCTACATTGGTGAATTAGCCCTACCAAAGAAACAAACAAAAACATTTTAAAGCACTGTAATTAAAACAGTGTGGTACTGACATAGCAGTATGCAAATGACCTACTGGAACAGAATGGAAAGTCCAGAAATAGACCAGTACATGTGGAAATTTAGCATATAATAACAATGGCATCTTAAATCAGTGCAACCAAGATAGACCTTTTAATAAACTGTACTAAGACAACTGGTTAATGATATAGAAAGAATAAAAATTAGATCAATAACTCATATCATACATAGGAATAAACCCCATACAAAGGAATAAACTTCAAACGAATCAGAAATCTAAATATAAAAAGTGAAATCTTACCAAGTACTAGAAAAAAATAAGAGTGAACTTCTCTTTACCTGAGGAAAGGGCTTTTTTCTATAAGGAAAGACTTTATAGTGAAAAGGCTTTCTAACCATAACTTAAAATCCGGACATGATAAGAGAACAATAAGTCTGACTACATGGTGGGGAGGGGTGAGTTTTACATGGCAAAATATAGACTATATAAAGTAAAAATACTACCCTTTACACAGATAAAGACTAAATCCATAATAAACTCTTCAGAGTTAAGACAAAAAGACCAAAATCCATTTTAAAAATGGGTCCCCCAAAAAGACAATTCACACACAAATAATAAAATGGACAGTGAACAGATGAAAAGATGGTAAAGTACATCCACAATAAGACTGTAAATTAGCCGAAACCGGTTTGGCTCAGTGGATAGAGCGTCGGCCTGCGGACTGAAAGGTCCCAGGTTCGATTCCGGTCAAGGGCATGTACCTTGGTTGCGGGCACATCCCCAGTAGATGTGCAGGAGGCAGCTGATCGATGTTTCTCTCGCATCGATGTTTCTAACTCTCTATCTCTCTCCCTTCCTCTCTGTAAAAAATCAATAAAATATATATATATATATAAAAAAAGATTGTAAATTAAACTACTACCTACCAGGCTGGCAAATTTTGAAAAGTAAAGCAATGCATGTTGTCAAAGCTGTGGGGAAATAGGCACTCATATTATTGCAGTGAATGCAAATTGGTATAACCCTTATGGAGAGGAATTTAGCAATATCCAACAAAACTGCGTATGTGTTTATGTTTTGATGAAGCAGTCCTACTTGCTCTTAATCTACACTGAAGATATACATCTAATTTCAAAAGGACATATGTAAAAGGTTTTTCATAACAGCACTCTTAGAGATTTACAAAATACTAAAAAGAAATTAAATATCCACACATGGAAGAATGGTTGAATCAATGCTGCAATGCTATGCAGCTATAAAAAGGATATGCAATGATTCCCAGGAACCATAGCTAAGAGAAAAACCAAAATACAAAAGAGTATCTCTAATGTATTCCCTACCTTTCATGTAAGAAAGAAACCAAGAAAATTATTCTTAACTGCTCATTTGTGCAAAAGAAACCCAGATAAAATAAACTAAAACATAATGAGATTGGCCATCTACAGGGAGTGAGCACAAACAAGACAGAGAGAATACGAGGGAAAAATACTTGTATATTTCTGGCTTTTGGAACCAGGTTAGTGTTTCAGATTTTTTTTAAAAAATCAAAAAGAATGGGGATAAAGTTCTAAGAATGGATAGATACATACTGAAACAGATGAACCAAACTGTATTTCAAATAAATAACGTAACTATGCTAGAGGAAAAAATTTACATTAAAAAAAAAAAAGACAAAACCAACTCAAATATCTCTGAACAGAATATATGGGTTTGATACAGCGATGATAAAATGTAATAAAGCACTCTGGAGTCAGACTGCTTGGATTTAAATACTTGGCCATTTATTCATGTGCTAAGTGTGACCCTGGACAAGTTAATTTATCATTTCTTTGTGCACAGTTTGCCTAATCCAAATAATAACCAATCTCATAATACTAATGTTATGTCTCAAATAAAACCACGCACGTAAAAACGTTAGATCATTGTGCATATAAAAAGTACTTGGTATTTGCTATCATCAACTACTAATCCAAAGAAAACATTGAATATATGGGCAACCAAGAGACACACATAATAAAAATGGAGTCCTTGTCATGAAAAAAAAATTTGGAAATTTTCTAGTTTTCAAGGAATTTAGAATAGCAAAATGGCTGGCTGGAATCATCTGAGAAATTTCATAAAGGAAGAATCTGACATGGGTCTTAGACTTAGATGGAAGAATGGGAGTGATATGGAAAGATAATGGGAATCTGAATAAAAGCAGAGAGGTCATAAAGACCAATATAGGTCAAGGGCCGTGACACAGAAAAGTTGGAAAGCTGAGTATTTGAAGATTAGGCAAGACTATGGAAGCTCCTAAATGTATAATTGAACTGGACAGGTTTTATTTTCTAGACTATGAGGAACTATAGGAGATTTGTATGTAGGAGAAACAACATGACCAAACTGAACTGTGGGATTATTTTAGTGTTGGTAAATAGAAGGGACCAGAAGGAAGAGATCAGAAGTAGAGTCTTATGAGTGGTTCAGCCAAACAATGACAAGGGCCTGACTAGAATGGTAGTGATGAGGAAAGGAAAGAAGGGATAAATCAACAAGGCAGTGAGGGGGATAAAAAAAAGAAATCAAGTTTGATAATGATTGCATATGAGGTATGAGAGAATAGGTTTTAGAGAATAGAAGAGTCTGAATGACAAGATAAATGATAATGCCATTAGAAGGAAAAAGGAATTCAAACCAACCGAAATGATTTCTATTGGGTCTTAAAAGTTAAGTCAGGGTTGTATAAGAAGCCTTGACAATTTGAGATAACAGCACAACATTGAGATACCAAGAACCAGTGGGTATTTGGCAACATGGGAGCAGTGATTCAGAGAGAGAGAACTAATGACAAAATCTGTAGATTTGTTTCCTAAGAAACTAAAACCACCTTAGAATGTTCGAGACATTCTAAAGCAAGACACTAAAATGTGTGCTACTTCAGAGCAGTAATCACCTCACTTTTTTTACATCCCTTAATGTTTAGCATAGTTCCTAGCACATGGGAGACTCTCAGTAGAATGTTGCAGAGGTAGGAGGAGTAGAGAAAGGTATAGAACTGCATGTCTTACTAATGGCAGAACCTTGACTATAGCCCAGGTCTCCTGACTCTCCACTATACCATAACATAGAGATGACCTCCAAACATCCATTCATAGGATCCCCTAAAGAAATGGTGTAAGAAATGACAATAAAATGAACTGTGGGGATTGCTGGTTTCTAGGGACAAAGAGAGACATAAGAAAATAGTAAAGAAAGATCAAAGTTATTGTGGGGGGTGTTGGTGTGTGTGGGAGATGATAATGTTGAATAATAGATTCAAAGGAAATATTTAAAGAAAGGAAGCAAAGTCAAAAATATCAAATGATCCTCTGCTACAGTCAATGTTTCTCTGGTCTACTATACCTGTGAGACCCAAGGCAGGAGAGGTAACTTTTTAAAAGTAGAAAGTAAGATGTTTTAATCTACCTTTCACAGCATTTTAAATGCATCAATCACTAATAGCAGTAGATAAAAAATAATGCAATCTTCAGTAGATTTTATTTCTACACAACATATAGCAGAAAATAAAATCACTATAGTAAATAGTTGAGCTGAACAAAAATATGCACAATAAATGAAATGTGAAGCAAAAAGAAACAACTGAAAATCATGTATTAATAGCAAAATACATGAAATACTGAAGGTCTTACCTTAAATCTCTTGTCTTGCAATACTTTCTTGATGGCAACCAATTCTCCTGAATCACAAAGTTTGGCTTGATATACCACACCAAATGACCCATTTCCAATCACTTTAGTGTCTGTATAGCTGACTTCTTGCGGCCTGTCTGGACCCTGCCCAGGAGTTGCCACCACTGTGGTCACCTTACTGCCATCCTTGTCTCCTAAAAGAAAAAAGGTATAGACAAATGAGAAATGTAAAGAATTAAACAGAGAAAATTGCCAAAGTATACAAATTAAACTATATTCTTTGCCACAAGCTATTTTTAAATGTTTATTTTAGTTTATCATATAGAGTTACTTCAACTATTTGTTTCAATTTAAGTATTTCTTTCCCACCATTTATTCAGTAATTCTATAGATCAGGCGCACCATGCTTTATACATGTGACTCTATATTTAATGGAAACAACACCATGAATATAATAGTACTATTCCCATATTAAACATAATGGGAAGAAAGGTGAACTCACTAAGGTTTGAATCCCTACCTATACAATTCTAAAAAGCCCTAGTTATTTCCTCAAGGCTTCCTTATTGTACTTGAAAATAAAATATGTGAAGTTGCAAATGTCTAAATATGCTCACTCTATTCACACCACTCTGCCTTTAGGAAGGTAAGGCTTTGAGTTTTTTGCTTCTTCATGTCTTATTTCTTTTAAGAAAACAGTGGAATGACTCTCAGAGAAAGGTCAGATGGAGAAAAGTAACAGGGAAAGAATGTTAATTTGGGGTAGGAAATGCAAAATCTATTCTGAACTTAGCTTCATTCATAAGTAGCTCACTGGCTCTGGGGTATCTGCCCACTCATGGCCCTCTCCTACCTTTTTTGCCTTTCTTCACCTGACCCCCTGACCCAGGAACAATCTAAAGACTCTGCAATTCAAGCTCAAGAGTTACTTCCTACTTGGCATAGTTCACAATAATCTTTTCCTCTGAATTCTTAATCTACTCTAAACTATCCTATGCTCCCTAGCACCTAACTTTAGAGCTCTAAATTATTATTGATTTCAGAATACACACAGATTCTTATGAGTACAATCATTTGAAGTAGCAATTATGATTTCTGCTACTTCTCTCTTCTTTGACAAATCTAAAACCAATTCTCAGTACAAAATAAGTCCATAGGCTCAATGACTAAACTACACATTTTCCTTTTTGTCCTCTACTACTTTAATTATCAATTTTATTTTTAAGATGCTAACCTAATAAAAGAAAAAATAATGTAATATTTAACTCTAGATAGCAAGTCAAGATTATGAAGCATTCATTTGTACCTCATATATAAAAAGATAAAAACTAGATTAAAAAATATAATCTAGTTTTCCAATGGCTTGAGTGTTTTCTCCTACCAAATATAAAACTGTAAGATAAATGAGTATACAAATATTAGTGGTATATTATAACCAATATTTTAGTCATTTAAGTTCACAGAGGTATTAATATACACAAAAGTCAATAATATGCACAGTCTATATTATATTAAGGACAGCTATCTTTTCAAATTAATTTTTTTTATTGGTTTCAGAGAGAGGAAGGGAAAAGGAGAGTTAGAAACATCAATGATGAGAGAGAATCTCTGGCTGCCTCCTGCACTCTCCTCGCCCCCCCCCCTCCCCCCCGTTACTGGGGATGGAGCCTGCAACCCAGGCATGTGCCCTGAGCCTCCTGATTCATGGGTTGATGCTGAACCACAGAGCCACACAAGCCAGCTATGGCCAGTTATATTAAACATATGTCTTTAGTTCCAAGGTGAACCACCCCAACAGGTATGATTTAGTTAGCACAAGTCCAACACCACTTCTAGAAAGAATAACTTAAATCTTGTCAACACCATCATTTTACAACAGTATCACATATGCTTTAAATGCTTTAAATGTATATAAACCTGAACACAAGCCAACACATATGTAACAGTTCTCAAGGTTTTCAAATGCTCTCTTCACATCTCATTTCCAAGTAAAAGAAATCTTAAATATACTTACTAAAAAAACTAGTTTAGCCCAGCCGTTTTGGCTCAGTGGACAGTGCGTCGTCCCTCAGACTAAAGGGTCCTGGGTTCAATTCCTAGTCAAGGGCATGTACCTTGGTTGCAGGTTCAATCCCTGGCCCTTGTCGGGTGTGTGCAGGAGGCAACCAATTGATGTGTCTCACTCACATCAATGTTTCTATCTCTCTGTCTCTCCCTCTCCCATCCACTCTCTCTAAAAATCAATGGAAAAATATCCTCAGGTGAAGATTAAAAACAAAAAAAACCAAACAGCTTAGTTTAATCTAAGCTGAGCTCTAAGTCATCATGCTCCATTCCCCCCAAATACGCCATTACTTCTGTTTCTGACCATGTTAACCTTAACTCAATTTTTCAGGTTGACTACAAACTTATATACTACTAGAGGCCTGATGCACAAAATTCGTGCAAGAGTAGGCCTTCCTTCCCCTGGCTGCCAGCACCAGCTGACTCTGGCACCCGGGACCCTGACTTCTCTCCGGCCACCAGCAGGCTCCCGGGACCTGGGCTTCCCTCGCAGCCCCGGCTTCGTCTGGAAGGTTGTCCGGGAGGACATCCGATCTAATTAGCATATTACACTTTATTATTATAGATAAGTTATTTTCTTCTTCTTTGAAAAATAAACTTATATTATAGCACTCCTAAAGACAGAATCAGTCTTTTGAAATTAAACTCTTCATAAAGAGATCTAGAAAGGTTAGATCCAGAAAGATTAAAATCCAAGGTATTGAATACATTTCCTTATAATCCAATTGTCCCAAAGAAAATTTGAAACAGAAGTGATTTAAGACCAGATTTTTTAAAAAAAGAAATGAACTATGAATTAATAATGCCACTGAACAAGTTGCTTGCAAAACCCCACAGGCATAATTCACAAAATAAAGCATTACCATTTTTTATTAAGATTAAATAAATAGATTTTAAGAATGACTGCTGTATTCTACAATTTTAACTGAGAACAAAAGCTGTCTGGGATATAATCAAAACTTATGCTTTTCCACTGTATAACCATATCTCAATAACAAAAACAGCAGTCACAGCTCTGTTCTTGCTCTGATAAGAGAATTTAAGCAATATATGATTGTGTAATGACTTTCTCCTCTTGCCTCCTCTGAGGCTGCATTTCTAAAAAAAAAAAAAATCACATTTTAGAGAAATGGTTTCAGAGCCTCAAGAATCAGCTATGAAAGCTATCCATCAAAACCCTGGGATTTATTATCTCTTTAACCTCAAGTATACTTGGGAACAGCGGCTACCCCAGCATCATCTACACTAATAAAAGAGAAACATGCAAATTAACCATCACTCCGTCACTCCGCTACACCCACCAGCCAATCAGAGTGACTATGAAAATTAACCCAACAAAGATGGAGGTTAATTTGCATATGCAGGCACAAAGCGAAGACTGAAGACGACTAAAGATGGCGGCGGCCACGGAGCTGGAGCAAGCAGGAGGCTTGGGTTGCTCCCGGTGACGGAGGAAGCCAAGCTTCCCACGGCCCTGGGCTCCTCTCAAGGAGGGGCTGGGGGCCTGGGCTCCAGTCAAGGAGCTGGAAAAAAAAAAAAAGGAGGGGCTGGGAGCAGCTGGAGCGGAGAAGCCAAGCCTCGCTGCTGCGGCTGGACCAAAGGCCTAGGTCGCGGGTGCCAGAGTTAAACCGGTGCCGGCAGCCAGGGGAAGGAAGGCCTATTGCACAAATCTTCGTGCAACAGGCCACTAGTGATTTGTATATAAGAAAATGCACAAATCAGATAATTCTGTAAAAGTATTAAAAGCAAAGTAGGAAGGTAAACAGATAGGTCCTATAGAAGCTATCACTGAAAGAGACTCTAGAGGCCTCCTAATTTAAAACTGATTGGATGTGGACAAGGACCAATCGTTTCACCTTCCTGTACATTTAGTAAAAAAATACTATCTTAAGAATTTACTATCTTAGCAGAAATTAAAAAATTTACTCTCTTTCAAGTAGAGAAATTGCTAAGAACTCTTTCGGGCTATACTCTACTATAAAATCCCTAGGTATATTAGGAACAATGACTCTCAGGCTTTCTACCTCAAGCATCCTGGAATTTTTATTCAGAAATCATCAAGCTAATCCATCAGACTACTCCATCAGAGATCTGAAATAGGAGAGCTGTACAGAATGGCAAGATATCACTGGGGATGACTTGGCCTGAGCATTAGTAGCACATGGGATAGTCAGCAGCTAGTGTGCCAAGGAAAAGCGTGTCATCACTTGGCATTGTAATTTCCTGAGTTAGCAAGAAAATAACAGCTGTATAAAATTTCACTGTACAAAGAACTTTCCAATTCATTATTTCATCCACTCTAATATTTATAATAAAATGTAGAGATATATTATTGTTTACTATGCAAATGAGAAAAGTAAGACTAAGAGAGAATAACTTGTCCGATGTTACAAAGCTTTAGCAGAACTCTTCACTTGTCTCATGCTGCCTCTGCTATATTTTACAACCTTCCTACTACAGCTGAAAGACTAACTTTGTATACCATTATACCTCTAAAGCAGAAGATAATTCTGAAAACATGATGTAAAAAGAGTAATAAGAAGTAAGAGAATAAATGAATAATCTTTTACAGTTTTTAGGCCTCAATCATTCAGTTATTAACAGCTAAAAAGTTCTTTCTAAAAATACTCTGGCAGCATAAGATTTCGAAACTTCTCCCCCCTACCCCCCAAAGCACATGGAAAACAAAAATGTAAAACAACTGATTCTGTGATATTCAATCATTTAACATTTGCTACTGGAAAGGAGATAATTTTGGGCCTTAGCAATAGAGCAGCATTTTAAGCTCTGCTAACAAGAGACCAAAAGCTAGAAATCATAATCTGCCTCATTTTTAAAAAGAAGTCACCACTTTGCCCAATACTAAACTTCCAACAATACATAGTATAGTGAATCTCAAACTAATTACAATAAAATTGGTCTCTCAAAAACGCCACAGTCTCCAAGGAGCAACAACAGCAGAACAGTGGGAACAGGGAGTCTCCAGGCCCTCTCTCCAGCCAAAAGACTCCTGGGATCCTCTATTTCAATTAAAACTCACTCAGGTGGTATTAATTTCCTAACATAACTAGAATACAATTAAATCCCCTACTCTTTACCACAATAGATAAATCTTAAATATATAAATCAC